AAAGGAAGTTGTTGAAAGAGGAAATGAAGAAGCAAATTAAACAACCTCATCAAGTGAATCATTTGGAGAACCATCACCAAAAAAGCTTCATATTGGTAACCTGATGCCATTTGGTGGTAAAGTAATAGTAATCACATTGGCCCAACTACATCCCATAGGTTCAGTGAAGACAGTAAGATAGAGCTGTGCTTGCTACCTGCTTCACATTGGTTTCTTGCTTGACTTCTTCTTCGACCCTAAAGATGGAGTTGATATATCCCTCCAGAATGTCTGTTGACATTCAGCAGACTATGAGGCATTATATTACAGAAGATAGAACTCTTTGGGGGAGATCAAATTATAAAAGAAAATTTTAGGGAAAGAGTTGTGATTAAAATCTGTTAATAAAGTTGGAAGAGAGAGAGATGGTTTGGCTATGTAAAAAAATTGGCAGAATAAGGATACTTTGATGAGCATTAGATTTAAAACTTAAAGGAACAAGACTTATGGAACAGTCCAGAAGAAGGTGGTTTAGCCAGATATTGGAAGACATCAAGAAGAATGAAAAGATATGACAAATCGAAAAGAAATTGTGGGAAGAAAGAAGGGTTGGAGACTTCTTGTCTGTGACCCATGTAAATTGGGAATAATGCAAGAAGAAGAAGGAGGAAGAGGAGGTTAAATTTAGAGTAATTTGATAAGATTACACATTACATGTTCAGTTAGTGACATACCTAACAAGTTTCTGTGTCCACACATTTCACCAAATGATAATTTCAGACATGACAGGTTTGTTTATAATGTACAGTATATTCCTAATCAGAATGATCTAAAACAAGGAGGTGCCTTATTGTCATTGCTTTTCAACTTTGCTGTAGAATTTGCCATTAGGAAGGTCCAGGAAAACCGGGTGGGACTGAAATTAAATGGGACACATCACCTTCTGATCTCTGCTGATGATGTAAGACTGTTACAAGATAACATAAACACCACAAAGAAAAACAGAAGTTCTAATTGGCACTAGGAAGGAGGCTGGTCTAGAAGTAAACACAGAGGAAGTAAAGTTTGGTAACGTGTTTGGAATCCAGAAGAGTCACTTCTATGGAAACGCTAGAACAGACCGTTGCATAGGAAGTAACAATAGCGATACTGTAATCCCAACAGCGAACCATTGTGTCGAGAACATCGAATCTCCACGGTTACAACGAATACACGGAGCGTTCCCACAGAGACAAAACAATAACAATGGGTCATTGCGTAGGAATTGCAGAATCAACAAAACAGCGTTTCCACGGTTATGACAAAGGCTCATTTTGTACAGCAGCGGCCGAGGGTATAAAAGGGAGTTGAATTCATTCGCCCAGTCAGTCTTGGGATAGCTACCGCCAAATATAAACAGTCGACAGGAAATCGCCGCCAGAGACAGTCGGGATCCAGCCACGACAACATAAGCAGCAAAGTGAAATGCAGCAGATGTTGGAACTTCTGCTGAAGGAGATAAGAGCCATACAGGAAAAGAGGCAGACAGACAAAGAAGATTTAATGGCCAAATTAGACGCCTGGGGAGAAAAGTTGGATGCAGAGACGAAAGCTACCCAAGCAAGAACGAGAGCCATCGAAGCAAGGATGGGGGAGCGACAGCGACATAAAGACGACTGCCTGCCAAGAGATGGAGGCACAGAAAGAAGATTCCCCAAAGTAGACGCTGAAGTAATGCCGGTCAGGGAACTGAAGCAGAAAAGGCGCAGGGACCGAAAACTGGCTGCGGAGCGCCGCCACCAGAAAACAAAAGATTCAAAACGGGAAATTCGTGAACCCCACAAAGAATTGGCCGTCAACCACAGAAGGACAACACGTCGGGCGAATGTGGCACGACTCAAGATAGACATCCTCAGGAACACCACCCAGAAAAAGTGTGGACCCCACGAGAGGTTGGGATTCGCCAGCACGGGGACGACCTTCCGTGCCAGAGTAGCACGGCGCAACAGGACCCCCAGAAAGAACTGGACCAGAAACCATTCTACAAGAGGAACCCAGACAGGATGGACTCCCAGATGGAAACAACTGGTGCGCCAGGAAGGCACCAAGGAAACCAAGAATTGAGACTTCGAGGACGAGCTATGGCTTGGAAGCAAGTGGGAATTTAACAAGACCCTCAGGAGGGCAAAGGGATTGGAAATCGCAAAGCGAATTTTCATATCTGTCCCATTGCAGAGAAGTAAAATCTGGACACTGTGGAGGGGTCAGCCCCCTCTGAAACGAAAAAAGGGAAACGGCCCGTATGGGAGGAACCGGCAATAGAAGTACTGGCCTCCCCATAGAGAACGAATGCGGGACGAATGAAAGCGAAGAATGAATGTGAGACAAGGCGACCAACAAATTCTTGGCTACGGGAGTGCTCGGGGCGAGCACCACTGAAGAGAGGGGCGGATGCGATAGAATGAACAGCACAAAAAGACGCGCAAAGGACACTAAGACCGAATGCAAACATTGCCAGCAGAACACCACGGAATCGAAACGGAGGGAGAACCGTTGGGCTGTTCGGGGACGAACAACCTTTAGAAGGAAGCAATGTAACGTGTTTGGAATCCAGAAGAGTCACTTCTATGGAAACACTAGAACAGACCGTTGCATAGGAAGTAACAATAGCGATACTGTAATCCCAACAGTGAGCCATTGTGTCGAGAACATCGAATCTCCACGGTTACGACAAATACATGGAGCATTCACACAGAGACAACGCAATAACAGTGGGTCGTTGCGTAGGAATCGTGGAATCAACAAAGCAGCGTTTCCACGGTTATGACAAAGGCTCATTTTGTATAGCAGCGGCCGAGGGTATAAAAGGGGGTTGAATTCATTCGCCCAGTCGGTCTTGGAATAGATGCCGCTGAAGAAGGTTGGAACCTAGACGCCAAGGGATTGTGTAACCAGTACTTGTAAAGCTGCAAGTCATAATAGTTGTAAAGTGTGCAAGTGAATTGCAATAAAGATTTGCTACATTTAATACAGCGTAAAGTTATTTGTAGCATGACATACCCAAACACACTACAGTATATATTGATGTCCCATCACCAGAATGGAGAGCAAAATTGTAACATAAAGATAGCTAATAGATTTTTTGAAAATATGGCAGAGTTCAGATGCTTGGGAATTACAGTAGCAAATTTGGTTCATGTGGAAATTAAGAACAGAATGAATTCAAGTAATGCTTGCTACTGTTCAGTTCAGAACCTTTTGTCTTCACATCTCTTGTCTGAAAACATAAAAATTAAAAAATACAAAACTATAATAATTTTGCCTGTAGTTTTGTATAGGTGGGAAAGACAAAGAACTACAAATAAATTGTTGCATTTACGACTGTATTTATATTGTGACGTGTTGCACTATGCAGGACACCCCTCC